AAGCAAGGAAGACAAGGGAACTGAAAATACCACTGTATTTCCTCCCACAGAAATGTTATAACTTGAGAGCTTGAATAAAGGAACATTATTGGAGCCACACATTTCTATACTGTTTATATGAAAATGTTGTTTTTGATAAATTGCACTGTCAACAATAGAATTAACATTAAAAATTTTATGTAGTTGAATAGACACTTCTCCAAGGAAGACATCCAGATGGCCAACTGACACATGAGAAAATACTCCACATCACTCATCATCAGGGAAATACAAATCAAAACCACAGTGAGATACCACCTGACACCTGTCAGAATGGCCAACATTAACAACTCAGGCAATGATAGATGTTGGCGAGGATGCAGAGAAAGAGGATCTCTTTAGCACTGCTGGTGGGAATGCAAACTGCTGCAGCCACTCTGGAAAACAGTATGGAGGTTCCTCAAAAGACTGAAACTAGAACTACGCTACGACCCAGCAATGGCACTACTAGGCGGAATACAGGTGTGCTGTTTCGAAGGGAAACATGCACCCCCATGTTTACAGCAGCACTATCAACAATAGCCAAAGTATGGAAAGAGCCCAAATGTCCATTGATGGATGAATGGATAAAGAAAATGTGGTGTGTATGTATGTATGTATATATACATATATATATGTATGTATACATATATATATACATACATACATACACACACACACACACACACACACACACAAAATGGAGTATTACCCGGAAATCAAAAAGAATGAAATCTTGCCATTTGCAACTACATGGATGGAACTAGAGGGTATTATGCTAAGTGAAATTAGTCAGTCAGAGAAGGACAAAAATCATATGACTTCACTCATGTGGGGACTTTAAGAGACAAAACAGATGAACATAAGGGAAGAGAAACAAAAATAATATAAAAACAGGGAGAGGGACAAAACAGAAGAGACTCATTAATATGGAGAACAAACTGAGGGTTGCTGGAGGGGTTGTGGGAGGGGGGATGGGCTAAATGGGTAAGGGGCATTAAGGAACCTACTCCTGAAATCATTGTTGCACTATATGCTAATTTGGATGTAAATTTTAAAAAATAAAAAATAAAATAAAAAAAATTTTATGTAGTCATAAATGTATAAACTGAATGTGGAAATATGTATTATATTACCTTAAATTATACAGTTAGTCAATCTCTAGTGGTAATTTTTAAACATTTGCCATCCTAAAATAAATTACTAAGCTTAATTTTTATAATAAATTATTCCACAACATACCTCAACTATTGCCTCTATTAACAGCTGTCTGCAGCAGAGAAAGGTTAAGTGTCTATCCAATATCTATTTTCGCTTTTCTTCCTTATTAAGCCCATATTTTGGGAGGTGGAGGAGAAAAGCATTGCGACCACCTTAAAAAAAAAATTTCTCAGCTTTCTAGGGAGATTGTAGCCATGTAACAGTACTTTGGCCAAAAAGATTAAGTGAAAACTGCTATTTAGGTTTAAGGGAAAGCTCTTTAAAAGGGCAATAGACTTGATCAGATTAGCCAAAGAGATGTCCAGCCTCAGTACAGGCTCATGGAAGATAACCTCTAAACCCCTAGAATTTCCCAAATGATAGGAGTGTCTTTTTTTAATTCACGGTGGGCCCCTTCAACACTCTGATAGTTTATGCTAAGGAGGCAACTTATGGTAGGCCCCTAGATGGTTTAGGTTAAAAAGAGGACTCAGCACTGGGGGCTAACCAAGCCAGAAAAACCAAACACGTGGTTAGAGGTGTTGAGTCAGGTGATATCAGCCCAACTTCAGGGAAGGGGAGAAGAGAGAGCTAAAGATGGAGTTCAACTAGGTGGGTGATGATTCAATCAATCATGCCAATGTAACGAAACCCCATAAAAACTCTGGAGTCCAAAGCTTGGTAAGCTTCCAGGGTTAGTGATCTTCCAAGTACGTACTAGCATGCAGTGATGTGGGAAGGATAATGTGTCCCTGACGACGCTGCAAGCTTCATATTTGGAACACTCTCAGTACCAGATTCTGCCCTATGTATCTCGTCCCTCAGCTGGTTCTGGTTTGCATCATTTTGCTTAAAAAAAAAAAAAAAATTCTGCAATTGTAATTATAACATTTTGCCATACCCTTAGAGGCATGACAACAAGGTGACAAGCATATGCCAAGTATATCCGAGTTTAGTCAGGGAAAGAGAGATTTCATGTAAGAACTTAGGTACTTAAGTACTAGAAAAGCTGGAAGACCAGAACACTGGGGACACTACTGCTAACTTTTAGGTTGGCCAGCACCACTACGGTCCAGAGAATCAGGAGGCTGCTGTTGCTTCTCAAGTTAAGAAATTGCAGGAAACAGGAACTAAAGAACGAAGCCAGGTGATTCAGAATGGAACACCTAGAGGCAGGTGCCAAGTCCCACAACCGGCAAAGCCTGGGTATCTGTCTGCTACTGCCAGAAGCAGAAAGTAAATCACTGCCAGGTTCCAGAGTAAAAAAGAGTCTGAGAATACTTTATTCAATGAAAACATTTTTTTTGTCATTCTGCCTCTTGATCTTAAACTTCTTCCTGCAAATTGTATATTCAAAATTACCATGGTGCTTCATATATGGTAAAGCTTTTATCATATGTATGACAGAAACTGCATTGTTGGGAGTTCATAAATAATATCACGGGAGACTTATTATTTATTTTGCTCCCAAAGTCTGAAATCCTAAAAGACATGAATTTTAAAAGCTTCTTAGTAGAGAAAGGGATATGGCAGTAGCGGCTACTCTATAAGCAGCTATTAAAAGTATATAGTTTGTTTTTTAGATAAAAAAGTGATCTGACACCCAGAGATATGGTCTCTGGGTATTTTTCCTCAGACACCTCCATTAATAAAAACTTTTCTGGGGATAAACTTCCAATACATGTATACTTATTTTGCTCATTTTTATTATGCACACAGTAGCACTTGTGCTAATATAGATCTACATAGAAATGTAGATAGGATATAAAATAAGGTAAAGACAATGAAAAAGTTATGCTTCACAAAAATATTATTCAATATTAAACATGGGTCATTTTTTAAATGTTTTATTTTGTGTAATTTTTCTACTGAGATATACTTAACATAAAATTCACTTTTAAAGTATACAATTCACAATGTTGTACAACCATCACCACTATAAAATTCCAGAACATTTCTATCACCCCCAAAAGCAACCTCATACCTGTTAGCACTCCCAATTCTTCTAACCCCCATCCCAAAGCAATCATTAGTCTACTTCCTGCCTCTCTGCATTCGCCTATTCTGCACATTTCATGTAACAAAATCATACAATAGGAATTATTTGTTAACATACTTGTTTAGCAGTTTATGAAACAATAATTTGAAAACCTGCCTCAAAATCAGTTTTCTTGAGTCACAGTTTTAATCGTTATCGTATCTGAGAAAGACTTCTAGAGATCCAGAGACCCAAACAGAGGGCACCATTTTTTTTTTCAGTCCCACCCAACAATCATATTGTTGAAATTTGGTTAGGAAATCACTCATTTTCTCAAATGAATTTTCTTATCAGTAAATCAGAAGGTGTTATATTTTTGTATTAACAGTCAGTCCCAAATTTTCTGCAACTGTTTGTACAAGTCTTAAACACATTTGGAATTTCTGATTCCAGGAAGAAGATGTTAAGAGTTTTATTATAACGCACACAGCTTTCAGTGCGACAAAATCACACAGTGATGTTTAAATCGCCAAATGTTTCAAAAGTCCTTCTCTATAACATGAACTTATTTACAGAGGTAGTTGCTTTGTCATCCATTATCACATTAATTCTTACTTGAAGGGACACATTAGTGGGGTTTTTGTTTTGTTTTGTTTAGTATCTTGATATGTAACATTCTGTGATAGCAATCTCTTTAAACCACACATATACCCTGTGGGGGCTAAGTTAAAACTAGACAATCTTTAACTCCACATATTTGAGCACACGCAAATTGCAAGAGAACTCTAATATCATGAAAGTGCATGTATGAGTGTGAGCACCACTGTTATTCCTTCCCAAGGTGCACAAGCCCCTTCTTCCATCAGGTCACTCCTGACTCACATGGGACAAATGGCCACTGGACTTAGTCAAGTCTCAGTACTATGGCACAGAAAATATTAGTATAGCTGAATATCCTTTGTGTTGCAACTTAAAAAAATACAAACGGAACTTTAGACATCCCCCCCAACACACACACATCAATGGATCATCTCGCACATTCCACTGCAGAACACACTAATTATAAACAATGATAAAGGTTTTTTTTATAATCTGAATTTAGCAGTGACTGAATATACTGGCACTCAGAAAATATCTGTGAAAGGGAGGGAGGCCGAAACGGAAGTAAGGGAAGAAGGAATTAGAGGGGCTAAAGAATCTGAAAAGTTGATAAATCCTGAGGAACGAAGACTTGGTTAGCAAAAAAATCTCATTTATGAATAGAGATTTTTAAATCTATGATTTAGAGTAGAGTAAGAAATTAGGAGGTGAGACCTATGAGGAGATTCTAGGACTGAAGCTTATCTTTGTACATGCTCTACCATCAGTTTTTTGGACATAAGCACAGGAATTTACATTGGAACCAGGGACTCCTGACAGAACAGGGATCTGGGCAACTATCTACATCATTTAAGTATAAGATTACATAAGCACAGGAGGCCTTTTAATTTCATTTTAAGTTAATTTGATTTCAAAATTATACTCGAGTACAAGCATACTGTGTACAAATATAACTATATAAATCTCACATAATAAGAAAGGTTAATTGAAAACACTTGAAATATAAATATATTCCATTTCAACAAAAAAGTGAAAGCCACTATCCACTATCCAACAAATGCTCAGAACAAAAGGCAGAACTATTCGCTGCACAACACTGATAGTTTTTAAAGAAGTTCAAAACATTTATGACTTATTGCACCTATAAAAACAATATTTATTTAATATGTTGTCCAGTGAGAAGAATATGAAAAAAGCTTCCTACCTTTGTGATAAGAAGTCGGTATCTATCCAGCATTGTCTGGTTGTCATGGCAGCCTGATAGTAACTGCCATACCTCTGCCCTCAATGCTTCAGGGACACCGCTCTTCACCAGAGTGGACAGCCCCTTTGGTCGGGCACCAAGGTTATTGTGCCTAAGAAAAGAGAACAAACCATTCATACTGTGTTTACTGCTGAACTGCTATTGTTACAGAAAGTATACTAATGAATTTATATAAAAATGGAAGCCTGGGTCAAGAGAAAAATTGGGGAGGGCATTAAATCATAACAGTAATGTCAGCTCAGTGATGTCTTAGACATTTTTTCCCGATCTGCCTTCTTTATTGGTGAACCATGTTATTCTACCATCAAGAAAAGTTTTTACTTCCTTTCATTTACTTTTTAAAATCATCCTATGAACTTATTCAAAATAATGAATGTGTTACTTATATATTTCTGGGACACATTTCAAGGCGTAAAAAGAACCATGTGAATCTCCTGACATGAATGTAGGGCAAGTTGGCTAACAGCGTGGGTAGGACAGAGGATGGGGAAATGGGATGCCAAAAGTGGATCGCAGGCCTATCATGTCTTGTGGATACCCCTACATCCTGATCCAAAGTACTCCCTACATGAAAAACCTGGTCCTTTCCTACAAAACCCACACAACCTACACAGCTCCACCTTGCTGGGGGGAGCAGCATAGACTCATCAGTCACACCCATTTCCAAGGGTGTTTAGAAATGAAACAAAGGCAAATATTTTTCGTCACGAAGTCAATGATGACAAAGTGTGTTACTATAATGATCCGCCCAAATGAACAAGAAACTGAATTGCACTTCCCAGTCTTATGAATATAAATTCCATTCCTTAACTTTCTCCTGGTGCCTAGCTTGAACCTAGAGCTATGTTTTATGCCTCTTTGCTCAGATTTTATCTTTACTTGTATTTGTTGCTCAGTTTTTGATCTCTTAGAGTGGACCCTGGTGTAACCATCTGGATTCCAAACCCTGATGACATACACTGGTTTGGTCTAACATTCAGGCTCTAGTTTCAAGGTTCAAGCCTTAAAAGTCATAGTATCAATATCTCCATTTTCTAAAATGGGCCCATCATCTACGTCACCAGCTTCTCTAGCTTATACACACTCTTCCACCTCCAGCCCAGACCTCAGTTTTGGAGGCCCTTCCTCTGAAATATGTCCCATTTTTTCCCCATATGGTCATAATCTGGCCATTTTGGAAAAAAACTGTAGTAGCTGCCATGACTCAAAAGCTCAAGTAAACTCATCCCATTAATATTTTTAATAAACCATCAAATTTACATCTATTCTGCTTTGTTTCAGCTTCTTCAAAGCAAACTTTTATGTTGTTCAGTTAGAGAACCTAAGCTTCCAATTCTGATTGGCTTGAAGCAAAACAAAATTAAAGGAGGTAGAGCTTATATGATTTAACATGCTATTTACTGCACATTAGAGACCAGAGTGAAAAAAGCAAGTTTCAAAACAGTATATGTGGTATAATTTTAAATACACATTCTCTCTCTCCATCTCTCAAAATTTTATACAGTATTATTTTAAATACATATTTATTCTCTCTCTCCCTCCCTGCCTCTCTTGCTCCCTCTCTTTCTCTAACACATACTACTTAGAAATCTGATTTCAACCTTCATAGGAAAAGAATACAGAAGAATATACTTCAAAATACGTGTGCAATAGAATTAAGAGGAAAATTACTTCTGTTTATTTTCCTATGCTATTTGAAATATTCACAATGATCATGAATTCTTTTATAATCATACACCAAAAAAAGTCATTTCAATTCTTTAAATTTCTCTCATGGACTTAAATTAAAATATAAGTTTGGTTAACTTTGAAAAGCAACAAAGCTAAATATGCTTCACAAAATGTCTTGAGCATATTATTCTTGAGAAGACTTACACCTGAGTAAACTGACACCTGTAACTTCCTTCCAGCTGCCTCTTCTTCACTATCCAACCAAGTTTAAGATCAGCAAAAGAATATTATGCCACAAAAGAGCCAGGATAGGGGCACCTGGGTGGCTCAGTCAGCTACGCATCAGACTTCAGCTCAGGTCGTGATCTTACAGTTTGTGAGTTCGAGCCCCACGTCGGACTCTGAGCTGACAGCTTGGAGCCTAGAGCCTGCTTCGGATTCTGTGTCTCCCTCTCTCTCTGCTCCTCCCCTGCTCACGCTCTGTGTCTGTCTCTCAATAATAAATAAATGTTAAAAAAGAAATTAAAAAAAAAAGAGCCAGGATAAGTCATAAAATGATCTTCCTCACAATTTATTTGGTTCTAAGTATATATATATATATATATATTTTTTAATTTTAGAGAGAGGGAGAGAGCGAGAGAGAGCAAGTGAGCATGCACGGAGGAGCAGAGGAGAGGGGCAGGAGAGAGAGAATCTTAAGCAGGTTCCACTCTCAGCATGGAGCGCTACCCTGGGATCATGACCTGAGCCAAAATCAAGAGGCAGATGCTCAACCAACTGAGCCACTTAGGCACCCCTGATTATATTTTTGAACTGGAAAAACATTGGTAGTTTGAGGGTAGCAAGTTTCTGTACTCTTTGGGTAAAAAAACTGAGTTAACTAAAAACAACAGTGTACAATGGTCTAAGCTCACTTCCTCTGAAATTAAACGCAAATATCTGAATTTTAAGTCCCATAATATATAAGGAGAATTCAAAGTAATTAAATATATCATATGTTACATGTTCTATAGAGATCAATAAGTCATTACTGTGTACCTACAGCTATTAAAACTCCAATACAGGGCACCTAGGTAGCTCAGTCAGTTAAGCATCTGACTCTTGATTTTAGCTCGGGTCATGATCTCATGGTCACGAGATAGAGCCCCACATCAGACCCTATGCTGAGTGTGGAGCTTGATGGGATATTCTCTCTCTCTCTCTCTCTCTCTCCTCTCTCTGCTCCCCGTCTGTTCATGTGCTCTGTGTCTATAAATTAATTAATAATTTAATAAGAAAAAATAAATAAACTCTAATATATACCTCCCATGTAAAAGAAACCTTTCTTCAATGCCACATAACCCTCTGGCTATCATACAGTCTCCTACTTTGCAACAACAAATTTCTCAAAAGAGTTGTTGTATACTCATTACCTCTATTTCCTCCTCTCCCACTCATTCCTCAACTGAGCTCAACATGGCTTCTGTATCTTTCCTCAGTTTTCACGGAAGTAATACAAGACCTCTCTCCATGCCACTAAGTTCCAGGGACATTCTTCAATCCTTTCACTGTGGACCACTTTGCTTCCTTTGGCTTCAATGACAAAGCCCTCTCTCTTACCCCCCAAAGACCCCATTGCTGTTCCCTCTCCTCTATTAACTTCCCAACTGTTCCAAGGGCTCTCCACACTTTTCTCAGTGGTATACTTTTCATCACTCTCTCATCTCTGGGTGTTTGCACCCATGCCCATGTGTTCTGAGCTCCAGAGACTCAAAGGTTCCTCAAAATCACCATGTCCAAATTTGAGCCCATATTTTCTTCCTAAAACTTGTTTCCCAGGGTATCCCATCTCAGTGACTGTCACCACAACCTATCCAAATAAGAAACTAGGAATTACTGTTTACATTGCTCCCCGCCATATAATACATTAGTAATCCATCAGTAAATCCAAATTCCACGCACTTCTCCCTGTGTCCACTGTCACCAATTCTATTCATTCTAGAATTGCAACAGCCTCCTAATATTCACTTGTCCTACTATGATATGTTTTCAGTACTGCTGACAAACAGGTTGATTAAATACTATGTTGGTTCAGATTATTTTGTGTAATGATTTATGTAAGATTTTATATTTGGGATATCTTTTCCTAAACATGCATATATACACATGCATACACATACCCCTAATGAACTCTTAACCATAATATGATTCAACTCAATCAACATTCAACTTCTAGCTGACTCTCAGCCTTCTGCCTGACCAGACATTATGGGAAAAGAATCTTTTCTCCTCTCTTAAAAACGTAGGCTAGGCTCCCTTTATCTTTATAGACTGACATTTGAAAGGAACTAGGTCCCTCATAACACTGCATGATCAATAGCTTTAATTTACTGATTATCCTGGTAATGATACAGCAATTAGATTGCATACAGCACCCTAGTACTTAAGGGGCACTAAGGGACATTAAGCCAAATGCGACTAGTATACATCTATGACCAGGGAGGACCCATATGAAATAGCAATTTGTAGAAATAATCATTGCTTTTGGTATTTCTGATAAAACTACCTGATTAATAACTACATGTGGACATTAATAAAACATTAACCACAGCTATCAAGAGACTTAGAAATAGGCAACTAGTTATTGCTTGTGCTGAACCATGGCACTACATACAAGAGGTATCTAATTATTCAAAAAGTAACAGATAAAGCAGATATATACTAAACATACAGTAATCAGGTAGTTTTTAATACATAAAAATACACTCCACAAGAGATTCCGCAAGAATCTCTGTCTTCTCTATTTTTGTACCCCAATACCTGGAATAGTGCCTGGCACATAAGAAGGCATTCAATACAATTTAGACAAATGAGAGAATTATAGAATTAAATTAATATGATCAACTACTAATGCTAAGAAAAAAATGCTTTTTTAAAAGCAAATGTTCTCACCAATTTTAATAAGATCACAGAGCTGCCATGTGTTCACCTAGTTACCTTTGAAAGAGGCATTTTTCTTGAAACTATCTGGGCATATAAGAACTTCTTCTATTTTTAAAACTGTCCAGAGAGAATTTTAAAGGGAAGGTTTCATTTCTAACAAAAACCACAAAGAAATCAAGAGATGAGAAGACAAGCCATTGAATGACATTGAGTGGTCACTGTCGGAATTAGGGCAATTTTGACAGAAGGGCGGGCGGTGGAAGTAGGTGGCTAGAAGATATGAGAACGTGAGGGCAGCAGCCTCACCCGTTTTAAAAGTTCTCTCAGGAAAAGGACTAGCTAGAACTGAAACTGCATAATAGGGATTTCTCCTTTCCCCAACAGTGAGAAGATTTAAATCTGTAAACCTAGGTTTTGCTTAAACAAGCTACATTTTAAAAAGCTTCAAGAGGGGTGCCTGGGTGGCGCAGTCGGTTAAGCGTCCGACTTCAGCCAGGT